CGCCGCTTCAAATAAAACAGTTAGCGGCTTGAACAACAGCTGTAAACACTGCCTGATTCTCGATTCTGAAGATCCTGGTTTTCAAGGCAACTAGTCAGGATCCCTTAATATCCACATCATTCTACTGCAATACCGGGTACGATGACAACTCGCATAGTGATCCAGTAATCATGCACATCAGTGTTCAGCACTGATTCGTCGCTATCATCAGAAATCGTGCCAAAAATAGTTATCGCTGGATAATCAATTTCTGTCTTAGGTTTAAGTAGTTACAGGCTCACAATGCCGACATACTGAACCAGAATATGAAGTCCAGTGCTAGAAACCCGAATTGCGCTAATAGTCCCTTTCATAGAGGCGGAATCCGAGAACAACAGCATGATCAGCTATTTTTGAAGCCGGGCACAGATTGGCAGTTTTATTCACCCTAAAGCCAACAACAGGACATGATCACAACCTATATGCTATCACAACCGGGCATTTACACCAATATTTCGAACTACCACGTCTAATTGTCAGTTCTGTTTCCTTAACCAATGATTGATCAGTGGGCAAAACTGTGGCAGCGGGAATCACCGTGTCATCCGCATAAAGCCTATATTTGATGGTGATACACTTGTGCCCCTCTACGGAGAACACCTCAATGGACTAACTAAGCAGTCGTTTCTGTGAGGGATTTGTGTGTTGAAGCGAACTTCAAACGACATGCAGAAGTGGTCTGTCAAGAACAAAATATAGTTTACCTCAATGATAGTGCACTGATGGGAAACAGTCTGTGCCATTTTCACTTGGACAAGCATGCATGTTTCACACTGAACCTGTCATCTCCCATAGGCAGTACTTTGGAGTTTGGGCTTGTACATTGGTGAATACCTTACTTTATTTGGTCATAGGTTACACTAAAGCTAAAACGGAAGCTTCTCCATTCAACTCAAAGGTGTGCCAAAACTTCGTTTATTATGTATGGAACACAGACCTCATGAAAGAAAGAACTGGTCGACAGACCATTACGATTTGAGTCTGAAATGTACGTGTTAATTACCTATGCAGCACGCATCGGTTAACTACCTATCGATCGTTACCGGAAGCAAGGATGCATAAAATGTGCTCCAGTATTCGCAACCAATGTAGTGGATTAGCTTTGGTGATGAAAATCGAGCGAAGTTTTAAGCTGACTCAAAAAGCCGGACAAGAGCTGAACCGTGCGACAAGTTGGGGAACATCGAACCTAGGAGAAAAAGCAGCCAAGAACAGAAGGACCGGGTCAATATTCGTTTCTTTACTCACAGTGAAAAACACCGATACCCTGGACATGACGTGTTTCGAGAAGAGCCTAGAACGGTTTGCGCATGCAACAAAGCTAAAATGTTGAGAGTAGGTCGAGCACATAGATGGCGTCTGCCAGTGGCGAAAAGGGTGAAAGGATGTGAGAGCGAATATAGTCAATCGACAGGAACAGAAAGGACCAAACGAGTTGTTTTTGTAGAGGTTTAGAGCAACACAACTGATGATTGATCATCTCCAGTCGGTTAATGTTTAAAGTGAGATGATCGTAAGTTTGCGCAGGAAACGATGACAACCGAGGACTATGTGGAAAAGTTTGGTCATGAACATAGAGGCTGAGCATGGGACACGGAAAAAGAAATGCATCTGACTTTGTATACAACAACCGACCGAGTAATGCGGAAGGAGACGTGAAATAATTTGGAAGGGTCGAGAACAGAGATGAGGGCGAGAACATGCGAAGACCATGCCTGCAGATATATAAGCTCCACACCACGATTAATCGAAAAGTATCGGGGTGCAAAGCAAATACACGTACAACCGGTTAACGAAAAAATAGGGAAGTTTTTAAGAGAAGACAACTCTGCATGAGAGAAGAATAGCGTTTGGTCACAAATGGAGAATCCGCCGACCAGCCACCTCATGTGTGTGTAGTACAGGCGAGGGAAATAGATTTATCAGTGGGTTCCGGCTAATAAGACGAAGAAGGTGGCTGAATGGAGAGGACTGTGCGAGATGTGAAGATGGAGAAAGTAGTGTCGACTTGTTCATCGAGAGGCTAGGCGCAACAGCTCACACGACTCCTTGGCAAAATAAGATACATCGGGATCCCCATCGGCACCCAGCATTTCTAGTGAAGGTTTCACAAAAGTCTGGATGGCATTCGAGTCTAGCAGGTGTCCAAGTTTGCCGAGTATCTGACAAACCTGAAGAAAGACAATGAAGTGCGGTTGAATCAGACTTTGATAAGGCAGAAAAAAAATAACTTTAGCTTAGTGATGCAAGAGTACAGTGGAGGCTCAAACCAGAAGCTACAGGTCAGTGTTCATTAACAAATTCCGCAATTTATCGGAATTCGTTTGTCGCTATACTAAGCTAGCAAATCATATTACTGGAATTTCGTCACTTATTTCGAGTAATTTTCACGATCTTACATATGGTGCATTAAGGCGATAGGCAGAGGGCTTCGGTGCACAGCAATAATGGTTTCACTGACAGGTCCCTCAATGAATTTGTAGTAAATGGATGGTCCTTTCCAGACACCGGTGTAACTCAGAAACCCAAACTCTTGATGGGGAATGTTGCTACCATAAATAGTGAGTATAGCCTCTTGAAAGCTCCTCTACAGTCCTGCTTGTATTCAACGGGTTGTGTACAAGTCTGAACAAGTGTAACATAGGGTTTACGGGGTCGCATGTAGGCATGGCAAACGGTGTTCCCTATATGGCCAAATCCTTACGATAAATCTCGTCATAACCCTGTACAAGCAGCAGACTGAGAAGCTGTAAAATAACTCTCCACCAGTGCCAATCATTCTGCAGCACATTAAGAGTTCGGATTTGGATTTGTCCATAACCCGACCTTCAGGTTACATGCTTAAACCTATGTCGTGCAGATATTTTTTTATCGACAGAGATAAGAGCAACACCGTAAAGGGGGCCTAGTACAGAAAGGAATATGGTCTTACCTTGAACCGCACATTTGGCACAGGATCATGAACCAGCTGAATAATGGTCGGTAACAAGTGCTTGTGCAACAACTCTGATCGACAAGATTCTGCTTCACCAAGTTCTTGCAATGATGCTAGACAAATCATGCGACGAAGGTAGTTTTGATCATGTGCTAATTGAATGAGCTGAAAAATGGATAGCAGAAAGTTCGGGTGAAGAGCAGAATAGTGGTCAGGCTGTAACACTTTCTACGGGAAGCTACCATGCCCCTAAAAGTAGGCACAAAAGCTGAGACACGGCCAGACTTCCCAGGCCTAGACATGGGCAGTCGAGATGCCTAAGGTGGGTTCAAACCGCGGACCTTCCTACCAATAAGTTCGCGCCTTATAACAACTGAGCTATCTAGGGACTTGAAGGATCACAATGAAGACAGCTTGCACAATGTGAAGACGGGATCACCTGCTCATTTAAAGAATGAAATCGCTGCAGAAAACGTTGCACAGTGACGTCAAAAGTAAGCTCACATTACCATCCAAAGAGCCGAAGAAGTAGACGAATCAAAGGCTAAGTCCAAAAAGGGGAAAAAGATGCTTACTCTAGGAATGACTTGTGTAGAAGCCCATTCAATCCCAAACTGATCCATTAACTTGCGCAGGTTGGTCACTGCCGCTTCTCGCACCGCATATACGTCATCTACGAGCCAGTTGAGGCACAAATTGGTCAAACGCTCGTTGAAACATTGCAGTCCTAACTGACTCGCCAACAGGGGCATATACTCAATTATTGCCAACCGGACTCGCCATTTTGCATCGCTAGCCAATTCGACGATTGCCGGCAGGAGACTTTGACTCAGCTGTGTGATGCCCATGATTTGATTCACACATTCCAGATTGGAGATAATATTCAAACGAACCTACAGATGTGAAGGGGAAAAGTGTCAGTGCAATGTCATCCAGTGTTAGGCGCAAATTCGACAGAAAAGGAGCACAGTAAGACGCCATAATCTACGCAAGAAAATACCGCTCCAAAGGCGAGAGTTGCCAGTTACCCAAGCATACGGTGTGATCGTCTTCCATTATTTTCATGATGGAACGCTCACATCAAATTGATCTCACCTCGCTCGAAATAATCGGCATCCTACGGCACTGCTGATCTTACTCAAGATAGCTGTCACACGTGATGTTTACGTGCCAGCTTGACATTTACCAACAGACTTTGATGCTCGTAGATTCCATTGTGTGTGTGTATGTGTCGGGATGGGATGGGGCGGGGATGGAGCTGACGCCTAGGTTTGGCATAATTAGGAGGGTTGTTTGGCTGAGAATAGGGTATAAAGTTGACGGAGACTCGGGGACTGTGCCACCTGATGAGCCCTAAGAAGGATGAAACCCATCATTGGCTATCGAAGTTTGTAGAAACCTGGTGAGTAGCTTCCTTTATAGAAATATACTGCGATATCTAGAATACTGCATCAACTGAAACATGAGGCGACCTTTGTGTAGCACATTCAGTTGAAGAACACCAAAAACGAGAGATTCGGTTGAGTCTTCCGTGGAAACCCAGTTTATATGCAAATGAGTGTACTTACCGAGATCTCTCTAATTTGAGTTCACGTGGAACATAAGGATGACGGAACTGGGACTGCGCCTACCCGATGAATCCCAAGCATGGCGTAACGGGTCGTGGATAGTCCAAGAATTTTCAGTGACCTTGTGAGTAGTTTTCCTTATGAGAATAGGAGAGACCCGAACAAATTGTGCCTAGGGCTTTTCAAAGGCAATATACGAAAGCATGCACTTTGTTGTAATCTGACTGTTTTTTTCGCTCATCATGGTGTAGCGGTTTGTGTAAATCTGTGGTTCATTGAACGACAATAAGGAGTTTCACTTTGACACCCACCGTTTCGACAACCACAGTGACCAGTGGATAGAGGTCCGACGAACACGGTTTCCTGCTCCTCCAGGATGTGGGGCCAGAATAAGAATGGCGACGTGTTCCTTAAAAAACGTCGCAGTATATCAGAACCCACCTGTGGTCGGGCTTTTTAGTGAAAGGTTTTTGTTGAAGGCCCTAATCACCCTCCTGTCTAGGTGTGAGCACCGCAGTCCAAATACACCAGTGAAACTCACAATTAACGGTAGTGTTACGCCACATTGGTTGTGGTGTAACCTCATTAGCTGGGTCACCTCATTCGCTACAAAAGAAACAAGGGGGATATGCGAATTTTACGTGCTCCTTCTCCCCTATCAAAATCTATGGTGAGTACTTTCTCTGCAGGTTGGGACTCACAGCTAGACAGAACAGCATCGCAACGTATAACGACTCAGATAACATTTTAACAGCATAAGTCAACAGAAAACACCCTTACATCAGGATTTTCATCTTTTAGTTGCGTCAGAAACAGTGGCAATAAGTGTTCCATTGTGTTCTGTTTTCCAAGCAGCGGAGCCAAGGCCATCATCACACCGGCAAGGGCAGTCTTCACCTGCAGGTTGGTTTCTCCAACCATATCACGTATGATTGGCAAGATGTTCTTCATAATGATTGTCTCGCGACTCTCTGATGGTAAGGTTGCGGCAAACGTTTTCAGTTTGCCTGCAGCCGCCGCACGCACTTCACCCTCCGGATCTTTGAGCAAATGCTATCGGGATGTAAAAAAGGGTTTAAAAGAAACATGTTTAGTCCCAAATGGTTTGTGGTTTTTTAAATGATACCAGTTGAACGTCCTTTGCCCAGCCTCAAATGCAGGTCAACAAAAAAACACTTAAAAGTACTAATTGCACGCCATGCTCTCTTTGTGATAGACACAACCTTAGGTTCCTTCGCGCTAAGCTAAACGCTTTCAATAAGCATGATTAAAAGTCGGATGTTCTAAGTAAAAAGAAAACGGAAAAAGCAGAAAAACGAACGAACTCAGTGACACTTCTCAAACTATATGTACACGGCGAGCGAGTGGTTGTGCAGAATAATAGATAACGTACTTCGTATACATCAACCAGATGCTGAACGGTAATTTGAGGTTTGACGGCAGCTTGCAGGTCGGTTATATGGTCGGCAAGCTGGTAACGTACACGCCAAGACTTGTCCTCTGCCGCGCCACGCACGACCGGGATGATGTGGTTTAAAATGTCTTCCACAGACAGCACCTCAGCAAACTCAACTGAGGCGTTCACACCCAGAAGACGAACTGAATCTTGGTCATCTTGCTATTGGGCCATTGAGGAGGGAAGTAAAGGTAAGGAAAATGAACGGTTTTGCCCGTAGACTCGGCAAAAAGAATGTTTTACGCTAACGCCTGGTGACTGAAGCAGTTTAGCAACTCACATATGATAAACTGACGCACGAGGAAGTCCATGACATCCTTGATATAATTTGTAAAAAGAACTATTAACACATCATGGAAAGTCAGATACTGCCGGGGAAATCACTAGTAAAGGATGCAATCCATCATCCACAGACATACGAAGTTTTCCGGTTGGAGTTAAGTCCAGGAACTGAATGCAGGCTGAAAAGCTCTGTGCTGAGTCATCCATACGGTCCACGTTACCAGTGGATAAAGGTACAGGTAATAATGGTAAGAAAGTGTGCTCGAAGGTAGTAGCGGCTCGACAAAGTTGAACCTATGACTTACAGTATCAAGTCAAGGTGCATGTCCTAGTTCTCGCTACGTTTGGGTAACAGCTTGTCCGTAAGATTTGATTTTACACTGCATTCACCAATTAGTTCTAAGAATTGAAGAATTTGAAGATCCGAGAACTTTAGTGGGTTTGGTTAACCGAGATTTGCCGCTTGTCAGTTTAATGCTCCTGTATGCTTCGCGATTTTCGCAGCTAGCACGGGAAATGGTTCAAAATGCAACACTTAGAGACCAACCTGTTCCATCGTAGGGGAGCGAGATCAAACCAAAACAAATGTTCATTAGGGACCTTTAAATCGGTATGCTGATAGGTTTGCATTGAAAATTTTTAAAGGAATCACCATTCCCCATACTTTGGACCGGATATCCAATTTTAACTACCCAATTTTCAATATCCTTATTCCAATACACTGCCTTTCCCTTACTTTACTAAAGTTAACTGGTCAGGCGCGCGATCCCTGGCTCTGCATTTGAAGTGAGTGGACATTTGGCTTGACTTCAGATACCTTTAACTTGCCACAGCTAATTGCCGGACCATCCTAAATGGGGTCTGTAGAAAACTAAGGCACCAAGCTGACTATGCGTGTTCAGTTGTTTTCTTTGTAGAGTAAGGTGCCTTTTTTCATTTTTCTTATATTTTACCACTTCCAGTTAGCTAATCGGAAAGCTGATTATTCTATACAACCTCGTGTATTGGCTACAATACTCCCGTGTTCGGTCTTTCGGACCTAAAGAGAAGGATATTACCTTGCTATCCCGTTCCCTACAACCAACTCTGAAGTGCAATGAACTTCCCCCTACGCGGCAAATGATGACCACGTTGGAGTAAAAGCGCGATCCTGGGTGGGCGGACTATGAGCGCACAATTTCGCCAGTATGGCAAATTGGCCTCGATTTCATGTAAATGCCGTGCACAAGAAGAAGCAAAAATCGATATA